CAGACAGCACAACAGACAGACTCAGACAGACACAGACAGACACAGACACACAGCAGACACAGACAGACAGGACAGACAGACAGACAGACAGACAGACAGACAGACAGACAGACAGACAAACACACACCACAGACACAGACAGACAGACAGACAGACACCAGACAGACACAGACAGAAACAGACAGATACAGACAGACACAGACAGACACAGAACACAGACGACAGACGGAGGACAGACACAGACAGACACAGACAGACAAACACACACAGACAGACAGAGAGACAGACAGACACAGACAGACACAGACAGACAGAGACATATACAGACAGACACAGACAGACACAGACAGACACAGACACAGACAGACAGACACAGACAGACACAGACAGACACAGACAGACAGACACACACAGACAGACAGAGAGACAGACACACAGACACACAGACAACGGGCCAGCAGCTCGAACGGTCGCCGGTGCATCGACGTGCCGTCGTTGCCTCCTCCTCCTTATGCCCTGCCTCCTCCTCCTGTTCCTCCTCCTCCTCCTCCTCCTCCTCTTCCTCCTGAGCCCTCCTCCTCCTCTTCCTCCTCCTCCTCCCACCGCCTTTCTCCCCCCTCCCTCCTCCTCCTCCCCTCCTCCTCCTCCTCCTCCTCTCCTCCCTCCTCCTCACCCCTCTCCTGCTCCTCTAGCTCCTCCTCGTCACCGTCCTCCTCCTTCTCTCTCCTCCTGTTCTCCCAACTCCTTCTCTTCTCCTCGTGCTCTCCTCCTCCTCCTCCTGCTCCTCCTCCTCGTACTCGTCCTCTCCTCCTCCTCCTCCTCTTCCTCCTCCTCTTCCCTTCCTCCTCCTCCTACTCCTCCTCCTCTCTTCTCCTTCTCCTGCTCCTTCTCCTCCTCTTGCTCCTCCTCCTCATCCTCCTCCTGCTCCTGCTCATCCACTTCCTCCTCTTTGTTCTTCCCCTCTGCCTCCAGCCCCGTGTGTTGCCCCCTCCTGGAATCCCCCTCACTGCTTTGACGTTGAGCTGGCTTTAATCCGAAGATTCCAGCGTCTGCTGCTCACTCCCTCCTCCTCCTCCTCCTCCTCCCTCCTCCCTCCTCCTCCTCCTCCTCTCTCCTCCTCCCCCTCCCCCCCTCCCCCTCCCCCTCCTCCTTCTCCTCCTTCTGCTCCTCTTCCTCCTCCTCCTCCTCCTCCACTTCCTCCTGTTCGTTGTTCCCCTCTGCCTCCCGCCCAGTGTGCTGCCCACTCCTGGAGTCTCCCTCCGCCTCGTTTCTCGCATCTCATCCGCGGTCTCCCACCGCGCCCTCCACGTCTCCCGTTCCCCTCCCCTCACCTCCTCCTACTTCTCCGATCCCTCACCTCTTCCCCCTTCGCCATCCCTCTCCTCCTCCTGACCCTCCAATCCTTCCCCTTAAACGTAACTCCTCCCTGTCGCACCCCAAGGCCAGTCGGAAAGGCGGGCTGGGCGCTTCGCCTGAGACATCATCACCATGTCTGATCCTGACACTTAAAAACTCGCAACAGTTTCGCACATGAAGGGCGGGTGGTTTAAAACATGTTGCCTTCGCCTTAGCGCCGCGCACGCTCGTCTTACACATGTGCAAGAGCTTCGCGGATTGAGGGCGGGTCGTTTTCAACATGTGGCTCTCGCCTTAACGCCGCACGCATCCGACTCACAAAATGTAAGAGCTTCACGGATTGAAGGCCGGCCGTTTTCTAAATGTAGTTCTCACCTTCGCGCCGCCCACACACGTCTCAAACGGTTGCAAGACTTTCACCGATTGAGGGCTGCTTCTCTTCAACATGTAGTTATCGCCTTAGCGCCGCGCAAATTCGCCATAAAACATTGCAAGGAGCTTGACGGATTCCCATGGTTCACGTACCAAAGATGATGCGTTGGAACGATGCAGGCATACCAGGGCGCAACAGGTAGGTTGATTCAAAATCTTGACGTTACAAAAGTGATTCGTGGCGTTGGCGCTCCGAGAACAATGTTTTTGCACGTTTCAGGAGCGTCCAACCGTTGTCTCCCAACTGGGCACATCCCTGAGTGGAAATGAACTCGTGCAAGGGCCTATGAAGAGAGAGCTAGGAGAGAGGTTGCATTCCAACGTCGTTGATGAGTCTGGGGTTTAGACTGGTCCTCCTCCTCCCCCTTTATCATCATCATCATCGTCATCATCATCAACGTCATCATCACCATCACCATCACCGTCACCATCACCATCACCATCACCATCACCATCATCATCACCATCACCGTCACCATCACCATCACCATCATCATCATCATCATCATCATCATCATCATCATCATCATCATCCACATCATCATCCGCATCATCATCGTCACCATCACCATCATCACTACATCATCCTCCTCAGTATCATCCACAGCATCATCATGACACAACAGCAGCATCAACACTATTAACATCACCATCACCATCACCATCACCATCACCATCGTCACCATCATCATCATCATCATCATCATCATCATCATCATCATCATCACAGTCATCATCATCAGCATCATCTGCATCATCATCCTATATCATCAACTCTCGATATTCAAGCTCCTCCTCCTCCTCGTCCTCCTCCTCCTCATCATCATCATCATCAACATCATCATCTTCATCATCATCATCATCATCATCACCATCCATCGTCAACATCATCATCATCATCATCATCATCACCATCCATCATCATCAGCATCATCAGCATCATCATCATCATCATCATACGCAATCCTCATCCTCATCCTCATCCGCCTCATCATCGTCACCATCATCACCCCCATCCTCATCCCCCTCCCCCTCGCTCTCTTCGCCCTCCTCGCCTCTCCCGTCCTTCCCTCGCCGACCCTGCAAACGGCACGGGCCTCAGAACAAGGGTTCCCAACTTCGCGCTTCGCGCTGCGCGAAGCGCGAAGTGCGAATAACTTCGCGCTCTCGCGCCGCCCCCCCAAAGGGAGAATAGGAGGACGAGGAGGAGGGGGAGGAGAAACGAGGACCGCGAAGCGCGAAGCGCGAATAACTTCGCGCCCTCGGGGGAGCCCTTGCAGAATAGAAGCAGGGGCCCGCGGTGCTCCTCCTCCCCGCCTCCGCAGTCCCCTCCCCCTCGCCCTCGCCGCCGCCGCCGTGGCCGAGCACGCAGAAGAGCAGCCGCTCGGGGAGCGCAGCGACGACGACGACGACGACGACGACGACGACGACGACGACGACGACGACGACGACGACGACGACCGACGACGACGACGGTCGCACCACGATGTCGACGGTGCTCGTTTGTCTCAGCCGGGCTCGGCGGCCGCGCCGTCCGCCTCCGCCGCCGCGGCGGGGCCCTCCTTCGTCGGCGCCTCCGCGGCCGCGGCGGCCTCGGACAGCAGGTGCTCCAGGGCCGCCTCGTGCGCCTCCGCGTCGGCCGCCGCGACCCCCTCCGCGAGGAACTCGGAGGCCTTCACCTCCGCTGGCAGCTCATGGGGACCTCCCATACAGGCCTCGGAAGAAATACAGTACACGTCGGTCGGAAGAAGTAGGTAGAAACATGAAGTAGGAAGGCGGATAAAGTGCATTGGGTCCAGGCCCTCCCAGAGAATAACATAACACAGCAAAAGCATGTCGATTCTTGAAGTAGGAAGGCGCTTGAAGTAGATTGGGATCTGGGAATCCAAAAATACTTACTTTCAACGACCGGCGTGTAGGGACTCGACCACAAGAAACCTTCCACAAGAAACCCCAACTGAGACCCCAGGACGTCCATTGATTGTTGGTGCGGGAGCGTCACGTTTTCCGGAGCAAAACTATCGAAACCAAAGAAACTCAGGGCACCCTGGAGGCACGCAGGGTTTTTCTTGGCATGGGCTTCCACTGTACAGGCCTCGGAAGAAATACAGGAACACTCGTGCCGCATTCGTCTGTCAATGCCCCCCCCCCCCCCCCAATGACCAGTGTTGGCGGTGGGCTAAATGAGCTGCACTTCGACCGCAGTCTTCCCTGCTCGTGCCACCTGCGAGTTTCGGGGAGCGGGGGAGTGTCCACGAATTGTTTCCTTCTACCGTGCCATCGTGCTGGCTCTTGCGCATCGACGCCGATCGACGCCAAGTCGAGACTACCTCATCGATTACCAGGCGCTAGTCGACGCTAAAGAACTCTAACGGCGTCAGCGCTCAAGCGCTGGAGTTGCGAGGATCTACGGGGCTCCCAGGACTTGCTACCGAACTTCGCCTGCACGTACGCGTCGGTATCCTCTCGGCAACAATGGAGGGCCAGAGAGAGGCTGGGCGGGGGGGTCTTCCTCCTCATCTCCCTGCTCCTCGTTTTCCTCCTCCTCCTCCCCCTCCTCCTCCTCCTCCTCCTCCCTGCTCCTCCTCCTCCTCCTCCTCCTCCTCCTCCCAGGTCACGTGTGCGGAGCGGCGCGCTGGGCGGCGGGGCCGAAACCAGCCTGCCCGCAGCAGGCTCCGCACACCCTGCCGTTGTCCCCCGCCCCGAGGAGCAACGCGGGGGGACTCGGTGACACGAGGGGGGGGGTAACACAGGCCCGACATCGGCGGTGCATCTCGGATACATCAGGAGGCAACTACTGGGAGGTTCTCGTCGGGAGGACTAAGGATGATTAAGCCCCATTTGTTTGGGAGCTGTTACGCCGGAGTGGGTCTCGGACTAAACAGGATTAAGCCGGATTAAGCGGGATTAAGCGGGGTCAAGCTGGCTCGAACTCTCACAAGAGAGCGGGTCCTGGCGTATATGGGGTCCCGGGGTCCTGGTGTATACATCTTCGTCATTTCCCCAGGAAAGCGGGGAAACAACTATACACAACACCACTCCGACGTCGCCCCCGACCCTCACAAAGTCCTGGGATTGAAAGAGAGCCCGCCACTGGTACGGCAGGTTCGTGTCGTGCCGACCCCGGCGTTGGTTTTTGACACCGCAGGGATCGTTCAACCTTGAACGATCGGCCGCTGCCGCAACGTCCGATCGTTCAACATCGATCGATT